CATATGCACTTACTATAAGATAACCCATTTCAGGGAAACTCGTCTACTTTTCAACTGGTGCATAAATACTATCACTTAGAACAAGAGAATTGTGAACTTTATTGAATTCTTTAGTTGTGATATATAGTGTGTAAAGTTCACTATGTGCTGTCAATTCCGAAATTAGTGTTTGGCGACAAGAGTGTGATTCTCATATCCTTTACCAAGTAACCTGAACACAACCTGATACCCGCAATTACCATCACTCCCCACATCCACGATTCTTTCAATGTGTTTGTGTATAAAAAATGGCATCTCATCAATGTAGATAATCAGTGATGGTTATGGTTATTTTATAATATACGGTGTACGAGGTGGTTTGGAAATACGAGCTCCCTTGTTAATACTTGTTTTGAATTTTGGGGTTGGAGAATCCGAGAATATTGCATCAACAACTTCGTGGTAAGACGGAGTCCCATTTGTTGTACTGTCAGCTTGTGAAGTTTTCACCTTTTTAGGCGCACCTTTTTGTTTTTACCGATTGCGAAGGGGATTTTAAATCGATTGTTTCTGGAAAGGCGAGTTTTCTCAATTGTTCATTAATGTGCAACTTCGTAGCATCATCCACTTTATAAAATATATCCATTATCACTTCCAACTCAGTTGTGATGGTTATGTTGGATTTACCTTCCTTTGCTGGCTCGTAGTCATCGAATCAAAGTCTTTTCCAATGAGTGCAAACCTCATCCATACGTATCAGGGAATTGAGCTTAATTTTTTTTTAGAAATAACACAAGCACATGGAAGACCGTAAGTCGTCCTTATTGTACATCCACATTTCAAACTATCTCGCCCAGTCGTTTTCGCTTGTTTTGCTTCGTAAAAAATAAAATTCAATCCCGCACGGGATATATTGTGAACCAACTGCGATTAAAGAGTGTTGTCTTTGAATCAGTGTTATAATACAGTTTTATTCCTACCAAATGTTGTTTGAATTTCATTAAGTTGGTTTTGGAGCATTGGTTCACTGTGTCCCATTCTCTACAAAGGTCTCCCTTACTATCACCCAACCACTTCTTCAATGTCGCATGTGTAGATTCCACTCTATTAGTTGTTGTGTTCCCCAAATGTCTAACACAATCCGTCCAAGCACATACAACTTTCTCTTTCACCTGATCAAGGATAGTAGACTCAACGTATTTTAAGAAATTGGGATATTCGACACACAAGTTCCTGAAGTGTATCGCATTCTTAGTACACAACTATTATGTAGCAGAATTAAGAATATTAGTCCATGCACCCTTATCTATTCAACCACAACACCAGATTTGACCATGTTTCCATCTTCACCCTTTCTTTCTTTGGTGACAATTGCGGGTTTGAGTCGTGCTCTCATATTTTTTGTTATATGATACCGACAAAGTATTACGGTTGACGAAGGAAATATAGTGCCAACCGCATTCGTAAGGGCGTTATCTCGGTCGATAACAATGACCTTAGGCATATTTTGTGGATCCTTCAACAAAGTCTTGCATATACCTAACGTCCAAGTGACGTTGTATTCTTTCTCACATTCTAAAAAACCAAATCCAACCGAAAATGTCTTGTCCGTAGAGGTGACACCAACAATTTCTAGAAGCGGAAGCCTATACTTGTTGGTCTTGTACGTCAAATCAATCATAAGAACGATTGGAAATGCGTTGAACAAATTGATACTTTCTGGATAAGTCTCAAATATGTCACGAATACTTATGTTGTCCTTACAAACTCTGTACCTGGAAACACAGTGGTTATCGTCCAAATATTTTAATAAATGTTGCATTTTGGACCTCGGACCTCTTTGTGCAATGTGTTGTTTATAACGATAATTGTAAACTGACTTGATATTTGAAACACATTCCAGTTTATTCCGTTTCAAACCGACAAGTATGTTTCTCGGTGCAACTTTGATCAATGATAATTTGGAAATAAATTCCTTCTCTAAAGTCTTAAACCGACATACATTTGGATGCCCGTGTAACTTGATGTCCAAAGCATGTTATGCATACCGGACATGACACTAAACCTCCATAAATCATCCACCCTATAATAACCACGCAATTTAAACAGACATTTACATTTCCTCGATCCCGTGTCATCATGTTTTATCTTGCGAAGTTTTGAAACATATTTTTCACTTCTCTCGCATGTCATCACAACAAATTGTTTCTGATTACTAGTCCCATTGTCGGACCTTTCAATCACAACGCCAAACCCAAGTTTGCTAGCTTCCATTTGAACCCATTCAAGTATATGTTGACGAGATGTGAAACTTTTATCATTTGAAAATTGTTGTCCATGATCTATCACAATATCAATCGTTTTATCAACGTCATTCACCTCATTCGACTTATCATCTTCATTGACCTTGTCTGGAACCTTTACAATAGCTTTGACAATATTGTCAGGGTGCACCATACCTAACATATTCAAAAAAACATAATTTCTGTTAAAACAGAATTTTGGTTTTGTAACAGACATATTTTCGGATATGCACTTCTGAGTTATGGCAGGTTGAATTCGGAAATGCATATCTGAAGCGACATTGTTTTCTTCTTCAACAAAACAACTTCAATGCAGGAAATGTATCATAAAATAATGGAAGTTTACCTCAAATTACAACTTTCTATGCTCTCTTTGCTATACTCAAACACTTGAAACTTGATTTCGGGACAAAAATTCCATTGAGAATGATTGAGTTGTCGAGGGTTTTGGTTATGGAGAAAAAGAAAATGAATGAAATAGTTGAAATAAGTGATTCTAATATGGAAAGAGAAATTTTGGATATGCACATCCGAGCTCACATTTCAAAATATTTCAGATGTGAACATGCGGAACCACCTTAAATATTTAAAATCCAACATTTAAATATTAAAACGTAGAAAAAATATCTTCGAATACATACATCTAAAATATACTTAGAACTGTGTTTGGATGTGCATATCCAAAAAGATATTTTTAGGTTTTAAGTTACGAAAATAGGAATTTTCTAAAAACAATTTACGAAACTAACGAACGAACAGACCCGATGAAAGGTGTTCAAAGGCGCTTAGTGTTGTTGGGAACAGCTTGGTCGCGTAGTTGTTCATACAGTGCATTCCAACACTACGTGGCCCCAGAAACTAGTTTACTCCTCAGCCACTGCTACAACAGAGATCTTCCCAGAGCCATGCAAACCTTAGATACCATGGAAAGACGCGGAGTCTGGGCTGATGCAATAGCGTATTCTGAGCTCATCAAGTGTTGTTTGGCTCATAAAGCTGTTAAAGAGGGTAAGCACGTTCATAACCATATATTCTCAAATGGGTATCAGCCAAAAACGTTCTTGGTCAATACTCTTGTTAATATGTATGTTAAGTTCAACCTTTTGGAAGAAGCACAGATACTGTTTGATAAAATGCCTGAACGAAATGTTGTTTCTTGGACAACGATGATTTCTGCTTACTCTTATGTTAAGCTAAACGATCGAGCTATGGAGCTTTTGGTTTTTATGCTAAGGGATGGGATCTTGCCTAATATGTATACTTTCTCATCTGTTTTGAGAGCTTGTGAGAGGTTAAGTGATCTCACACAGCTGCATTCTGGTATACTGAAAGTAGGGTTGGAGTCTGATGTGTTTGTTAGGAGTGCTCTTATTGATGCTTATTCGAAGATGGGTGAGTTGTTGGAAGCATTAGGTGTCTTTCGTGAGATGGTGACCGGAGACTCTGTTGTTTGGAATTCTATTATTGCTGCTTTTGCTCAGCATACTGATGGGGATGAAGCTTTATGCCTATACAAGAGCATGAGAAGAGCAGGGTTTTTAGCTGATCAGTCGACACTCACGAGTGTTTTGAGAGCGTGTACAAGTTTGTCGTTGTTGGAGTTAGGGAGACAGGCACATGTTCATGTGCTGAAGTTTGACCAAGATCTTATTCTTAACAATGCACTTTTAGATATGTATTGTAAATGTGGTAGTATGGAAGATGCGAAATTCATTTTCAATCGGATGGCTGGTAAAGACGTAATCTCTTGGAGCACCATGATTGCTGGGTTGGCTCAAAATGGTTACAGTACAGAGGCACTCAATTTATTTGATTCCATGAAAGTCTCGGGTCCAAGACCAAACTATATTACAATTCTTGGGGTTCTGTTTGCGTGTAGTCATGCAGGGCTAGTAAATGAAGGTTGGTACTATTTTCGATCTATGAAGAACCTTTACGGGATAGATCCTGGAAGAGAACACTATTGTTGCATGCTTGATCTTCTTGGACGAGCAGGGAAGCTTGATGAAATGGTTACGTTGATTCATGAAATGACTTGCGAGCCGGATGTTGTGACGTGGAGGACTTTGCTTGATGCGTGCAGGGCTCATAGGAATTTGGATTTAGCCACATATGCTGCTAAGGAAATTACTAAGTTGGATCAACATGACACGGGAGCCTATGTATTGTTATCTAACATTTATGCAAATTCAAAAAGGTGGGATGATGTTGCAGAAGTTCGGAGGACCATGAGAGAAAGGGGGATAAGGAAAGAACCTGGATGTAGTTGGATTGAAGTCAATAACCAAATACATGCTTTTATTGTGGGAGATAAATCTCATCCTCAAATAGATGAGATCAATAGAAAGTTAAACCAATATATTCGCTGGCTTACTGATACTGGATATGTTCCTGACACAAATTTCGTGCTACAAGATCTTGGAGAGGAACAGAGTGAATACTCCCTTCGACACCACAGTGAAAAACTGGCAATTGTTTTTGGTATTATAAGCTTTCCTAGGGAGAAAACTATTAGAATATGGAAGAACCTAAAGATCTGCGGAGATTGTCATATGTTTGCGAAACTTGTAGCAAAACAAGAGCAGCGGCACATTGTAATTAGAGACCCTATTCGATATCATCATTTTCAAGATGGGGTCTGCTCATGTGGTGACTATTGGTAGCAGATAAGATGCACAAGACAAAATCTATGACTTCCTTAGGCTCAAAACAGCATAGATGAATCCACAATCAGCTGATAAATATGACAGAAAGCTTGCAGCAGTGGCATTTCTAATAGTTAATATGCCAGTGAGGTTGGATAAGCTTAATCTTTCTGGTGTTCCTTTATTTGCTTGTATATTGACTCTTGTAGAAGAAAAGTAATCGCAAAAACAAAGGAAAAATAATGGGAAGGAGATTTGGCCCGGGACACTGCCGAAGAAGACTGGAATTTCCACTTGGAGACCAGAGAAAGTAAAAGAAAATGTTTCTTCAGCAAAATCTGTATTAACCTTGATATAGTCACATTAAACACATTCCTGATGCATATCGACCCTAATTAAAAGAAAATCCTACATGGTTACACAATACATTGGTAGTCTTTATTACTACAAGCTACGTAAGGAAAACAACCTTTAACGTTATCCAAACAAGATCCAGCCTAGTGAAAGTTTGGTAAATCATAAAACTCACATTCTACTTATTTTGTAGTAATGTAGTTACATCATGACTTAGATATGAGCAACATGAATTTTGTAAAAGCTTTGATGTATATCTTTCTTTGATCCCTCTGTTTCTTATACATGTAAGTTATTCTTGCAGCTTATGATCTGGAAGTCTAGACGTCCAAAAAATTTCAAATGTAAGTCTTTTGTGCAGGCAAAGGTTCTTTTTTTAAGGTAATGTTTCTGTTTGGATGCTATGCTTTGTAGAATTATTACAAACTATTAGTTGCGTACATACAAAAAGCTACGTCTAATGATAATTTTGTTAATGTACTGTATGGAATTCGGACCGAACAACTATATGTATATTATTTATTTTTCATTTCGAAGTCACTTGGCTGCTTTGGTATCGGCCTTTTTCCTGCAGCACCACATTTGGCCAGAATGGTGTCATAATTTCTAGTTACACATTTAGACTTCGGAGTCTTCAAAAGAAATGAAGGTAAAACTTTATTGGTGTTGATTTCTTCATGCAGAGTTATGATGTTAATACATACAAATATCAGTGCAAAAGTAAGTTTTTATACCACAGATTTATTTTCTTTCATCTTTTGGAAAATAAAGTGTTTTCATGGGTCCATGTGGATGTCATCTATATTTTGTCAGTCTTGGCGGATTGGTTTTATCTTTTGAGATATATTGTTCCTGCTTGAAAATAGATAAAAATGCATTGAATTGTGTCATAAATTCGTAATATGTATAGGTCATTCGACTTATTCCCATAAACTACTGTTCAAACTAAATGCTAACATTTTCAGTTAAATCTGTATAAGGGTCATGCTCGGCACTACAATTTACAACCGTTACCCGGTGTAGTTTAGTCAATAGGTGTAAATGTGTAATGTGAAATTTTTGAATAAACAGTTCGTGCCACAAGTTTGAAAGGTATGACGCCTTATTTCCATTTGCACTTAAGTTGCTCAATATAATTAGAATTCGTATTACATATATTGCTGTTTTGTATTTTGAAAGGTTTTGAATATAATTCACGTAACCAAAGAGATTATTAACTAGGTAAGTCGTCGTTCTATTTAAGATGTTCTCTATTAGTATTTAAGATGTTTTATGATACTGTTTAAAATTTTGTAAGTAGATTATCAACAATGAAATCTTTTTTTGACCTCTAAAATGGGACGTACATCCGTGCTATTTGGTGAGAGTAGGTTCGTTCTTCGAGTTGTTCCTCCAATAACCTATTAGTCATATGAACTAAATGCCATACACTAAAGCCATGTGGATAAAAGTGCCGGCAACACCAAAGGTCACCAAAAAGTGGTTGAGGAACAAAGATGAATGCAGCAAAAAGATGATTATTACACTTTTTATTCTTGTTTGAAAACACCTACATATTTGATGACCATGGCTGAAAGATTCTGTGCTTGAGTTTCCTCAAATTATACAACAGATCTGTATCACATATTCCAGAGTAGGCTGAAAAATGTAACTACCAATATTTTTTAAGCTTTATTGTACTTTCTAAATGAGTGTATGGTGGTTGGCATAGCAGCTTAAATTAATTATGTTAGGTATGATCTCTAACTCCTTTAAGTGGACTGAGTGATTTTTAGATATATGGGAATGACTCAAAATTTTGTTCTTTTTTTAAACAAAATTGGCTTATCAACCTTCTCTTCTCGTCCTCCTATATGTTCGATCTTTTAGATGAAATAAAAGGAAGCCTTGCTTTTGTATTTGATGAGATAGTAGTGAAAAATGATGTCTGCGGCCAACAATAGGGTTGTGCGTGGTTCTAAACCCAAACCAAACCGAACCAAATATATAGTTCAATTTGGTTTTGAAAACCACTTCAATTAAACCTGTTTATTTTTTAAAAATTGGTTTTCATTTAGTTCAGTCCGGTTTAAAACCAGTTCATATTAATATCTAAATTTTCATTTGAATCAGTTGGAAACCAAAACTTTCACATAATTGATATAAAACCGATTTTTTTTCAAAACTGGTTTGAAATTCAAATTACAAGTGAGATAATTTAAAATTTGATGAGAATCTTTCTGTGGCCTTGTCATGTTCGGTTGTTGTCTAGTTTTGGTTCAGATACCTTTAATTGTTTGGGCTGGTGGGAATAGTGCAATTGCTTTGAAGAAGTGTTCAGCTTTGAGGCTCCTTAACTAATACTCTAGTTGGCACAACCAATGAAAACGATGACAGACTTTAAATCAGCACTTTGAATTATTATTAAAAAATTAAGGATATCATTATTTTAATTTATTTTATCTAGATTTAGTATTTTTCTTTGAGTTATTAGAAATATTGAGTCCATTTGTTATAGATTAACAAAATAAGCTAACAGAGAATAAAATTTAGATATCCAATGATTAAACCATAAGAATCGATTTACCATTTTGATCATAAATGGGCCGCCTGATTTGATATTTCTGTTTTTGGATTGAATTTTAAAAAATGGAACAGTTTGTATATCAATTTGGATAAGAGTAATTAGTTTTTTTTGCACACCCCTAGCCAACAATGGCTTCTACATTACATAGTGAAGACTTGCCATGGATCCTACACCATCCCTACATCTTTAATGTTTATATTGTACAGTCATTTTTTCTACAGTTTACATGCTTGATCCTTGTAGTTAATACTACATTTTAATAGGGTTTATATCCCTCTCCAATCTCTAAACATTTATTTCTATATTATGTACATATGTATATAGCCATTAGTTGCTATGTCTTTTTGTGTACCACATGCTTGGTCTTTGTAGTTCAGATTACATTTTAACGGGTTACGACGTTTTCATTTAGATTTTTTATTTTGATATTATACATATTTCTTTTTCAAAATGTAAAGAACCACAAAATAGCATAAAACAATTGAGCCTATCCTTTTTGAAAGAGTGGAGATTGCAAAATTGATGAGCATGTACGATGTAGTGCCATGTTTATGTTAGCTTATGTTACTTTTTTTTCTCCTTATATTTCAATGTCATGTTTATATTTTAGAGTTAATCCACCTGTTGTTCCATGTCATTCGGTGAAATTTCGAAAAAGGATTTCATAAAAAAAAAAACACAATTTCATTTCTGTATTTTAAAGATTCCTCTATTTTAGTCTTTAAGTGGATATGGTGAAATAAGAGACTGATGTGACATTGTCAGTGTGACTTTTTTTTCACTATTCATTTAAAACACATTTCACATGTAATTAATTTCATATTAATCTCAAATTTATATGTTAAATTCATTTTTTCTAATTACTAAAACAAATTAATTAATTACATATCATTATGGATGGCAAAAAAATTCGTATCTGCGGATAAAATCCGTTACGGATATGAGATGGATAACTTAACGGATATCTGTAGATAACATAAATGGATATTTAGATATCCGTTATTTAATGGATATGGATACATATTTAATAATATCCATACCTGCGGATATCCGTATCCGTTAATTAATTATAAAAATTATTTAAGTATTTATATATTTTACTAAGTCTTATCATATTCCAAAAGAATTTGGTCTTTTTTTTTACGTTTTCTTTAAAAAAAAAATTATATTTCATAATATATTATAAACTTTACTTTTCCATTTCATAATTAATTTATTTTATATGATCATTTCTCTTGCCTTCTCAAATTCCACTTCAGTGTTATCAATGCACCTTCCACCACAAAAATAAGGATCCATCTTATCTTCCTTGTTTTACCAGCTCCGTACCGGCTCCGTCGCAACTCACATCACAATCAACCATCTTATCTCACACAGGCAAGTAGTATTTGTATCTTTTATCTATACTTCTTTTTCTCATTTCCATTTCTATATATTTAATAACTATTTTCAATTTATATTAAATTAAATTACTTGTGAATTAATAGTATGGATTTCAATGTTCTTTCATCATAAAGATAATTTTTTTTTTTGAAATTGATTATGAAAAATAATAATGAACAAGAGATGACATATAGCTCATTTTGAAGTTAACGGTGGTGTTTTTTTATTTGCATGAACACTCACACTCTTTCAATAAAATGCAATAAAGTCATAAATATTGGCTTAAACTAAAGTGGTAGCATGTTTTGGCTAATGAGTAAGACATTTGCACAAAATATGATTTTAATACTCTTTACGTTTACTTCTCCGAGAGACACAAACAAATTTTGTTTTTTAGTGTTGCTATGAGGGTTATATACTTATATTTGGTCACCATAGTCATCTTGAATTGATTTATTAGCTTGCCACAAAATGTCTTTTGTATTTGTCTTTTTTGAACGTAATGATAGAATGCCAACTGAAATTGAAATATGACCAATTCTGCATAATTGCTCTGCTATTATTAATTGTGATTTACAATCTCTTACTAACAATTTTTTTTTTTTTTTTAGAATGTCTTTTGACAAAACCGTTACTCCTACCGAAGTTGTGCAAGAAAATTTGGCACCCTTCAATGCGGACGAGTCTAATGTGGAAATTAATTCAACTCCTAATGAAATTGAAAGTCGGGTTTCATGTGAAGTTGAGACTGTAGGTTCTAAAAGAAAGCTAACTTCTGAAGTTTGGAATCATTTCAAAAGGAAAAAAATAGATGGAAAGATGAAGGTCATTTGCAACTATTGTGGTGCAAAACTCTTGGGTGTTCCAAATCAAGGAACGTCACACTTAAAATCACACGTTAAGTCCTGCCCACGTCAAACAAATAGAGATATAAAACAAGCTTTGATCAAAACTGAACAAGTTGATGGTCAGAATGTAATGGTTGGTTCTTATACATTTAATCAGGACATAGCAAGGTATGCTGTGTCTAAGATGATAATTCTTCATGAGTATCCTCTAGCAATGGTTGAACACATTGGTTTTAGAGAATTTTGTGCTTCTATGCAACCTTTATTTAAGGCGGTTTCTCGTAACACTATTAAGAATGACATCATGAAAATTTATAACAATGAGAAAGAGAATACAATGAAGTTGTTGTCAAAGAATCAAAGTCATCTTGCAATTACCAGTGATATGTGGACTTCAAGTAACCAAAACAAAGGCTATATGGCAGTTACAGCTCACTTTATTGATGATTCGTGGACCCTTCAAAGTCGGCTTGTAAGGTAATAACAATAATTTTTTTGGTATTCTTATTATTGTTTGTATAATGTTAGTAATGTTATTATCGAAATTTTAATTTATGGTAGGTTCATTTATGTGCCTGCTCCTCATACTAGCAAAACTCTAGCTGATACCTTGACTCAATGTTTGATGGATTAGAATCTAGATACAAAGTTGTCCATATTAACTGTTGATAATTGCTCTACGAATGATGCTATGATTGAGCTTATTTTACAAAAGATTACACCTAGGTCATTGATATTGGGTGGTAAATTGTTTCACATGTGTTGTTCCGCGCATATATTGAATTTAATTATGAAAGAGGGTTTGTCTATAATCTCGGGTGCCATTGAGAATATAAGACAAAGTGTTGTCTATTGGACAGCAACACCAAAAAGAGAGGAGAAATTCATAGAGACATGTGCTCAAGTGAATATCTCTTATGATAAAAAGTTGGTTCAAGATTGTAGGACTCGGTGGAATTCTACATTCTTAATGCTTAATGTTTTCGTACAATATAAAGATGTGTTTGGTCGATTAGAAAAGAGAGATACTCAATATAAAACTTTGCCTAGTGAAAATGAATGGATGAAAGCAAAAGAAATTTGTGAAAGGTTAGGAGTTTTTTATGATGTCACACAACTATTTTCTGGTACAAAGTTTCCAACTGCAAATGTTTATTTTCCTAAAGTATGTGAAATAAAATTGGCTTTGGTTGAATGACTTTGTTCTAGTGATAGCGTCATTAAAGATATGGCTTCTAGTATGCTTTCTAAGTTTGACAAATAATGGAAGGTAGTCAATGGAGTGATGGCAATAGGCATTGTGTTATATCCAAGGTATAAAGTTTATTTGTTAGATTACTTTTTCCCTCTAATTTATGGAGTTGAAGCTGAGAATGAAATTGAGAAGATAAAATCTTTTCTCCAAAATATGGTAATTGAGTATGATTTGAAGTTCAAGGATAAGGAGAATGTTTCTTCATCCTCAAATCAAATTAAAAATGTATCTGATGCAATTGTTGTTGGCAAAAAAGAAGCTTGGAAGTCTAATTTTGCAAAACATATTAGTGCAAAAAAAAGTGTCACATCTAGTAAGTCCGAATTTGATGGATATATAGAGGAAAAAGTGTTGCCGGATGATGAAAATTTTGACATCTTAGGTTGGTGGAAGGCTAATGGATTAAAATATCCAATCTTGCAAATGATTGCAAGAGATTTCTTAGCCATTCATATTTCAACAGTTGCTTCAGAGTCATCTTTTAGCACAAGTGGCCGGATTCTTACTCCTCATCGTAGTAGATTGTATTCAGATACTTTGGAGGCATTAATGTGTGTCTAAGATTGGTTATGGACTGATGTGAAAGGTAATCAAATTAATAATAAGTTTTTGTTACAATGATTACTTATAACAAGTTAGTTTGTTTTTGAAGTAAGACTTGTTTTGGTTATAACATTGGAGATGCAATCCTTGTACTACCTTTTTATGATTTATTACAAGTTAATGTTAACTTTTGGATTAATTTTTAGACTACTGTACCTTTTTATAGCATAGTTAGTGTTAACACTTAGAAAAATTATAACTATTTAGAATTTGAATATCAATTTCGTACTGCAAGTTTTGTTTAACTATAACAATTCATTGCTTCTTAAAAAAATTATAATCACTTAGAGTTTAACTTATTCTTTTTTTTTTCTTCAGGTTATACAAAATCAAAAGCCGAAGTCATTGAAATTATTTCAGTATTGGAAGATATGGATGCTGACATTGTTATTGAAATGTTAAAGATTTCATTTTAAATATTATTATTATGTTGATTATTTAGATTTTTATTTGAACATTTTTATGGTTTTATTTCAGGAGCTAGAAAATCAAAGTGGAATTGTTGAAGCAAAAAATGCATAATATGGAATTTTACAATGATTGATGAAAACTATCTGCATCATTACTTTTTATTTTGTTTGGAACAATTATTATATGCTATGATGAATATTGTTTTGGTTAAAAATTATGGATATTCTATATGGATGTTATTATGTTTTGGTGAAAAAGACAAATATTAATATGATGAAATTTTGTTATTAAATTGAGACTAAATTGTATAAATGTTATATGATAATAAATTTTTTGTGTCTTTAAAAAAAACTGAAAAATTATTTTTTTTAAAAAATAATTTTAGAATAAAATGTTATCCACGGATATCTGTAAATATCCGCGGGTATCTTAAAACCCATGGATTACCCGTTTAGTAGATATCCGCATGGATATGGGGTGGATATGGATATCATATTTATCCAACGGAGCAGACACGGATATCATATTATCCGTCTCCATGGATATCCATTTACATCCCTACATATCATTGACATTTCGTTTATCCACCGAAACCTAGAATAGATTATGACCGCTTCATCGTCTTCTCCAAGTCGTTCTTTGCTTCCATTGCTAAGTTGTGAAGGTTAGAGGTATATTTCCTTTTTGTAGTCACTTAATCATTCATTTTTCTTCACCTCTGTTTGATTCTTGCATGCCCATTTTATTGTGTTAGGTATGGTACTGTTCAACTTAATCTTTCACCACGATGGAGAGTTTGTTTGTGAAAGCTTCATTTTCTACAGAGACGGAGTTGAAACTATCGTTAATGGCTAGGATTCAGACACATGGTCATATTTTAAAGTTTTGAGCTTAGTGAAGGAGTGTGGTTTTGACAGTAGTGGTGTTCGAATGTGGAGAAAGATTGAAGGGGTTGATGAAGGTTTCTTCCACCTGACTAATGATACCCGTGTCACAGAAATTGTCAATCATTCTATTTTTCACAATGTGAATGGACATATATGGGTGAAGCACAATGTTGCATACAATTCAATAAGGATACTCACTCCAAATTATATAGATATTGGTGAAGATAATGAGTATAGCGTGATGATGATTCTTTATGGATCAAATTTGAAGATAGTGAGGAAGAAAGAGTTAATGAGGAAAATGAAGGCTTTGTGGTTGTGGAGGTTGATAAACCCGAAGAAGGTAATAGGGTTGAAATTAGTGGTAAGAAATATAGCTACAAGTTAAAAGCTAACAAGGATTCATCAACTGTAAAGTCTCCCAAAAAAATCAGGTTGGTTGCTCCTTCAATGGTCATGGATGAGAAACCAAGTTCATCAAAGTGTGTAGAACAAGATGGTGATTATGAAAGTGAAGAGTTGGGTAGCTCAGGCCCATATGAAAGTGATAATGAAAGGATGCCCAAATACAAGAAGTTTAAAGGGGATTTGCTCAACAAAGACTATGAGTTCAAACTAGATATGAAGTTTAACTCTCTTGTTGAATTTAAGGATCCTATAAGAGAATGGTCTGTTTTAAATGGTAGAGAGATTAGGTTTGTAAAAAATAAAAGTTGTAGGGTTAGGTGGAGTGTAGGGGTAAATGTGATTTTTTAACACTTTGTAGTAAAGTTGGTGACAAACACACTTTTCAAATAAATACTTGGGTGGGGTCACATACATGTGCTAGGGTTTTGAATAAGAAGTCAGCCACCTCTAAATGGGTGTCCAAGGTTGCAGTTGAAAATAGGAAATCAAGTGGCAAGGTTAAAGTCTCAGATCTAATGGCTGAACTAAGGACTAAATGTCCAGTAAGGATTACTAAGGGAAGAGCATGGAGGGCCAAACACATAGCTGAGGAAATTATTAAAGGTGACTCAACTAAGCAATATTCTTTATTGTGGAGTTATGCTGCGGAATTTAGGAAGCAAAATATTTGGAATTCAATGAAAATTAATGTGGAGAGACAAATTCCAACAATTCTACCAAGGTTTGGTAGTTTCTACTTTTATTTTGATGAGTGCAAGAAAGGGTTTATTAATGGTTGTAGACCATTTCTTGGTGGGGATGAGTGTCATTTTAAGACAAAGTATGGTGGCCAATTACTTGTTATTGTGGCTAGGGATCCTAATGACCAGTACTTTCCTCTAGCCTTTGGTGTTGTGGAAACAAAGACAAAGGAAAGTTGGAGGTGGTTCTTACAATTGCTTATGGAAGATATTGGGAAACACAGAAGATATGTATTCATATTAGACCAACAAAAGGTTTGAATAAATTTTAGTATTTCAATATATACATTGTTTGAAGTAATTGACATTTCACAAATTGTATTTCATATTTAAATAGTCTTGTGGCTGTGTTTGAAGAGATGTTTGAGTTCATTGAGCATAGAATATGTCTAAGACATTTGTATGTCAATTTTAAAAAGAAATTTGGTGGAGGAAGTGCAATGAGGGATCTCATGATGAGAGCTATAAAGG